GCGAGGATTGCAAACATAATTAAATCAACAACGTCGATCTATTAAACTGAATAATAAGAAATACTTAAATGTTCAGACTAATATGTCAAAGTTATATTAAGTAAAATCGACTAAATTTACTTGAAATGAAGTATGCAATTATTCGATGTAAAGTGGGAACGTATATAAAGCTATTAAATTATTACCAAATTAAATAATAACGATACTTGTCACGCACTCCACGAGCTGGCGCGTTCAATATGCATGGGACGCATCGCGTTAAAGGGATATAAAACCAATTGGGCTGTTAAGCGGCTGCAAATGTTAAATAAACTCAACGCGAGGTGAATCAAGCCGCCTCTTCCGTACTTCCTCTCCCGTCCTCTCTCCCGAAGAGTCACACGACGTGACTAACAGCACAATAAGCCATCGATCTCCTCTTTCCCCATCGGGCTCGTGTTTTTTTTTTTCGGGGTAAACTCGTTCCATCGGAACAATCGGATCGCCTCGAAACGATCGCCCATTCAAACAGCCCCCCCCGCCCCCGACAACCTAGTCGGGGTGACGAAAAAGGAAAAAGGAAGGCAGAGTCGATGACGGAGAGGCAGCGCGGAAAAAAATCGAAGCACGAAAGCACGAGAGGGGGATTGCACCGACACGTCGACTTTGTCGGGGTGTTGGAACCCGCCCTCTTTTGGATGCCGTCGGCTCTGGTGCGAAAATCTCCGGAACAAAAATACACTTTTCGTTGTTCCCGGGAAATTAAATCCCTCCACGGAAACTAACGAACAAATCAACGCGATCGACAGGGCCTGAAATCCTTCCTCTCTCTTTCTCTCTCTCCCTCTCTCTTAGTAGAATGCCGCCAGCAAAATGCTGCGAAAATCTTTGGTATACGCCAAACTATCGGCGTATATAATGTAAACAACACATTCTTTTTTTTTTCAACTTGATGAGAAATTCTAATGAGAGTATCGAGATATTCGTAGTATTTAAATTATTTGCTTACAGATCTTTTTGCGAATAAGTGCAAATAGGTGTAAAATAAAATTTACCCTTCATTAAAGTTTCATATTTCAGTATAATTTCGATTGCAAGTTTGGATACTAAAATATTTAATACGGGAAATTAAAAGTTGTAGCAAATAACGACAAACCCAATAAGAATTTTTATTTCTTATTCGAGTAAGATCTCTAAATGTTTCTCTAAATATTTCTTACTAATTGCTTAAAGTTTTTCATTTGCACTTAATTAATAAATATATAAAGTTTATAAAAGCTACCAATATTTTTCTAAATCCACTCGTTAATTTATTGAATTAATCATCATCCAAACTGTAATCACTTTCCAATTAGTGATTGGTAATTCAATCATGACCCATGATTAATTTCGTCTTCTTTATCTTTATTATTCATCAATCATGAATACAGATTAATCGCGAATATTGGTAATCACAATTAGTAGTCACAATTCGTTAATCGTATTATTCTATAATAATTGAGCTGATTACATTTTATCCAGTTCCCGCGCACATTTACCCTTTTCTGAATACTGTTACAAGAGTGATTTTGCCAACACGATGACACGAACGATTTTTCGGCTCGGAAGTGCATAACCGAATTCCACCCGATGTAACCTTCATTGATACAACGCACGATTTTTCTCCGTCCGATGGTCCATCCCATCCCGGCGCGGAGGCTGGCAAGGCAACTCGTTGGCGTGTCCGCTCTCTCACCATCACAAGTACATTTTTCATGCCTCCCGTCCTGCGTCTTCTCTTTCGTCTTTTTTTTATCGAAGCCCGCTTTCGAAACCCGTTATCGTCACAGACGAGTACGGCGTCGAATATGCGAACACGAACGACGCGGCACCGCACACCAATCGCCCCCGTTAAACCCGTCGATTTTATCGGGAGCTCTTTCCAGGCTCTGCTTCCAGGTTGCGAAATCGTGGTACATGTAAAGAAAAAAAGAAAGAAAGAAAGAAAGAGGTCAACGGGACAGAGCGAGAGAGCGACACCGGTAAGTCGAGGCGGCGCGCGCGGGAGCGCGCCGAAAAATACGCTCGTTAGCTCGTTATTCGTCTCTGCGAGAGAGACAGGTCGGTGATTTTATCGGGATTGCTTTTATAACGATGCAACTTTGCGGATCGGATGTATCCGGCGGAGGAAATAGCGATGAAATTTGCGATGCAAATGCCACATTAAGCGGCGCAGAGTTGGCGTAAAAAGCAGAGACCTGTACCTGAACGTACGACGAGATAAATGCGTATTTTTACATGCCGGGGCGAATATATTTTACTTCGCGTGGCGATGATTAATTCTGTTGGTGGAATATGGGAATATTCACCAGGCGACTCTCCTTGTTATCATTATGTCAGTGTCAACCAACAAGTAGGTAGAGAAACTCCACATGTAGAGAAAAAAAAGTGACAGAGAGAAAGGGGCGAAGGGAAGAGCAAAGCACCTTTTTGAAACCGAAAAATACAGAATCTGAAAACTACGCCAAATAAAGTATAGAAATCAAAAATATGAAACGATAAATCACGTAACCCATAACGGCCATAACCATGTAGTTCTGGAAATCACAAGCGGAGACATTTTTATTATGATATATAGCTATCCACCAAGAGCTATCTTTGTAACTTTAGATATCTCAGCTCAGTCAATGTATTTGTAAAAGATATTAAAGTAACAAATTAAAATACTTAAAATAAGATCAATTGTAAAATTAAGATAATAGTAAATAAAACAAACTGCGATATTTTTACTCATATTTTAGGCTAAAAGTAAATAAAAGGTCACATTAATTGACGCCAGTGTTTTACCCGCTGAAATATTTAAATTGTGCTGACAGATTGTGCTATTCTGAAGCACAACGAGAAAGAGATCGATGAATTCGTAATAGCGATTTTTCCACGTGTGACATAATACATGAAAAATCCATTTTCGGAGACGAAACAAAAATAGCCAATGATAGCCGATTTCTTCAATGGGTGAAATCGATCGGGCGACTTGCCTAACGAGATCCACCTCGACTCCTTCCAAGAAACGCGACTCGCGAGACGAATCCGTTAAACGTCTCGCGTATGTCGACGAGACGTAACGCAGCCGCGAGTGAGAACTCGAGAGAGCTCTGCGATATGCGCATGATAAAAATGACATTCGTCTACCGATTATGCCGGAAGTATAAATTTGTCAGCGAATATCCATCGTATGAAAGTTAGAGAAGGCTGTCAAATTACAAAGCGACTTTGTTGAACCCCGATCCTTTGATTGACATTGATTAACTTTCTAATTTACCTGTTGGTCTATTTAAGTTACTTCTCACTTTTCTGATCATTTTCAGCGAGTTTTAACGTCAGAATAAATAAATATCTATAATTCTCTCTTCTTCCCCACTTCGTAAATTATCCGAGAGAGCTCGCTAGAATGTCTAATAGCTCAGTTCCTCTCTTCCTCATTTCTTTATCTTCCGCGAAAGAAACGGTGGGCCCGACGAAAGTCGCATAAAATAGCAGCATCCGGTCGTATATCCGTCGCGCGTATATATTCATCGAGGAGGGAAAAAAAATGTGGCACCTCTCGCTCACGTACGTCACGCACCTTTCCCCTACCGTCGACGGTGTCGACATCCGGAGAGTAGGCACCTCTCCGGAATGCCGGTATATATCACCGTGTCGTACGCCTCGAACACTTTAGTGTTTATTGGGAGGAAGGGGAGGAAAGCCCACGGGTGCGGTGCCTCTCTTGGATGACTTGGGTCTTGGGTCCAGTGCGTTGCGTGATTTCGCGGTGAGAGGACCGTGGCCGAGTCGACCGCAGAAAGGAGCACGCACGAGCTCGGAGAGACTTCTCCTCGCTTCGTCGTCGCACGCACGCACGCACGTACACACATCGTCCCTTCGCCGGCCACCGATCGATACCGTCTTCCAACTCTTTCGTCGCGCCCGAGATCAAACGGCGCGATCTTGAACACCGACCGACCCCAGGGTTTCGACATGGCTCCGGCAATCAAGGTGAGTGACGAACGTGCGCAACAGGTTGATGCACTCTCTCGCGCGCGCGATACGCACACTCTATGTGTATATACATATACATATACATATATATACACACAGCTAGTGATTTAAAGTTTCGGGGGAGAACACCCTCGGGGGAGAGCGATTCGCCCCCGCGCACACGCGAAACTGGGCGTTTAGAGGAGCGGTTGTTTCGGTATGCGGGGAAAATTCTCCTCGTCCCGGCAGAATCTCCCGTGCGACACCGGCACCGCCTCGAGAAGCTTATTCATCGGACGTTCGGAATACGACACGAACTACTTAGAATCCTCCTCGCGGACTCTCGCTCGGTGTCGTACATTTACAACAGGAGTATTCGAGGATGGAGGAGGGTCTACCGCCGCTTCCGCACGATTTATTTTTATTGTAATGCGTTTTACCGCGCAACGAAGGGCTATTCGGAGACGAATAAATTCGCGTCAAAAAATGCGCCGCTTTGCATAATTGTATATTTGCTTGGGACGTCTCGGAAACTGCGCGGCTCCCACAAAACATATTTGTATCTGAGACATCGAAAAAAAATTAGTTCAGAATCATCGGTTTCGACGTATCTGTGTATGTTGAAATAAAAAAGACTGGCTTTAAAAATTACGAAAAAGAACATATTTCATAATTAAAGCTCGCAAATATGAAAAATAATACAGTAATGAAGATAGGTAAACGCGTAAACATTAAATAACGAGGTAACATAAACGTTATAATATTATAATAATACGTACATAATAATGATTTGTTTAATTTATTCTGGAAATCTCACATTGTTTTTGCATTGTTTTCGTTTTTTCCAAGACAAAGAACAGAATAAATTTTTGATCGTCCTTGCTTTTCACGTACAGATATCAATTTAAACGAGGGAAATATTGGAAGCCGATAAAGATGTGTATTTTACACGCTACATTGCCGAGTTTGAAATGAAACAATGTTTGCTAGACATATATGCAAAGGTTCGGATTAATGCGCCATTAGATTAAACCAATAACGTTCCATTGTTACATGCCTTTGTACGGCTAAACGGTCATACGATGCAAAATAATTGCATCTTGCGCGAGAGAACACTGCAATGCGCGCTTTGAAATTTCACTGCTTTATGGAGTATAGCAGCTGTTCGCGATATATGCGTGTGTGTATTGTAAAAAAGGAAATATGAATAGCAAAAAACGAAAAGAGAAATGTCACGTCAAAATCTTTACATATAGTTAACGAGACAGAGACGCGTTCTTATTCGACACTTATCGCACTTGCTTAAATATGGCAGGTTATTGATTTTTGCTGAAATTAGAACCTTGCATATCTCTCGATCTGAAATTTTATGCCAGTAATTATGAAAGTCGTTTAAGTTAATTATGTTTTGTACTTAAAATACTTTGATTCATACTTCAAATTTTGAGATAATGTGAAAAAGATTAATATGACAAAGATAAATAGTTGAGATATATTTCTTTAAACGTAATATAAAAAATCGTATATTAAACATGTTTTGTAATACATGAGAACTAAAAAATTTGATTATCTCGAGATTAAATCACATAAAGACTGAATAATCGATGTAGAAAAATGCAAAGCTCGCAAGAAATGGCCGAAACCAAATCTTACGAAAAAGGAACGACGATTTCTCCTGTAATAAAATCGAATTATCGAATTTCCGCACGTAGCGCGACGGCTGTATGTGCGACACGATTGGCAACGGCTTATCGACAATGCGATAACATTATAATTTATACGTATTGCAATCGTATACTTATGCAAAAGGTGTCGAAACATTGCCCGACTAGAATGACAATCGCGAAGAAGATTGTCCAACGATTTTGTAATCTTCAGTGCAATCACATCATGGTCTAAAGGCGCATTTAAGCGACGAATAAACGAATAAATGAAATTTTGATACGCCGTAGAACATATCTTCAAATTTATTTGTAATATTAAAACATGAAGTAGCAACAATCGCATTAGTTTTAATTCCTGCATTTCGTAAAAGGATGTGCGATACGAAACGATGAATAGAAAAGAAATCAGCACTAAATTTGCATAACACGTATTTTTTCACAGTTTAGTCTAATATGCGATTTCACAATCTTCTTATTAAAAAAATATGTCATGTTTAGCATTACAAATAGATTAAACACTGAGAGAAACGCATTTGCCTATATTAACCTGCGATTTTATCAAACAAGGTCCTAATATAAATACACTAAAATTTCGTCGGACGATTACGGTTTCGCTCGAAAATCATTAATTTACAATTTACTATTAAATTTCCCCGCAATTTATTCGCCCCGCACGAATATTGTAATCGAAAGAGCGCAAACTGTGTTATTTATTGGTATAATAATATTATTTATTGATATCACGAATGGGAGAAGACGCAGGTTCCCGGCGACAATCTCGCTAGTATATCTCGATTAACGCCAAGCAACTGTAAATTAGTTTGATAACCGTAAATTAACGCGGCCGCAAATAATACCGCGCCAAACGTGGGCGGGGTGCGTCGTTAAATTATTATTTATCGAACGGCGACGCCGATATCATATATAACTTGTGAGACTGCTTCCGCTGATATATCTCCAGTTACCATTCACCGACGAGAGTACTCTCCCTGCGCGCGGTGAATGCGGTTTATTAATTTTATAACCGCGAGTTGTCGCCGCGCGTAGCGTGACGCGACGTGCCGAGTAAATCATCGTGATCGGAGCGAAAGTGCCGCGTCGATTACTGCGAGTAATTATTGCCGTACGGGTGCGGGCAATGAACGTAATTAATACTGTACCAATACCACGGTTTCGCGATGCGTTGCGTCGCGTCGTATGCTTACGACGCATTATCACCCGTTACATTCAATGCGAGTGTAATTAACGGCCCGTATGCGGATCGTATGTACAAGGGCGGAGGGAGAAAGAGAGAGAGGGCGAGAGCCACTCATTGCACGAAACATTCCGACGCGTTATAGCGCGCGAGGAGGACCAGTATTAGCGCGACGTGCCGGCGATAAAATCTATATATCGACGCCAATTTGCCATTCAGCCCGGGCAATAATTCTTATAATCCACACTGGTTTGCGGAAGTAAGCGGTTTTGCGCGAGCGCGCCCGCATCGAATTCACAAATCACTCCCCGCGTTATATATATACATACATATATATATAGATATGTCTACGCGCGCCGTGATTTACGGAGCCGTCGTCGCAATTATTAGGATTCTGCCACAAAAGTCGAAATTCGAGCGTCTCCGCCGGGAAATCAGACGGACGGAGGCAAGGCGTGCTAAGTGCAACTTGAAATGCGAAACGTAATTACGCCCTGATTAAGCTGCCAGGCCTGCCAGTTGGGTCGTGAGACTTGGTGTTGATAAACATGCAGCGTTTTTAATAAACGTAAAATTTTGCGAGGTTAATTTTAATAATTAATTATTCTATTCAAATTTTCAATTAAAACGAAATAAAAGAATTTATGATTAGCTCTCGTTTGGTTAGCCACCAAAAAGACTATCGCGATCGGTGAAAATTTTGGTATTCAGCCGTGTCACGTATAATTATTCAAATACTTAGCGTTATTATGAAATATAATGAAAAAAAAAAATCATAAAAAAATTCACCGGCTATGCGTGCACGTAAAAAGCCGCGGAGGCAAGAAAGAAGACTAGTAAGATCGTAGAGCCCGAGGTTATTCGAAATCCAGGCCGGAGAAAGCAGTGAAAGGACGGCGGGATTAAAAATTCAAATTATAATGTCGCACGTATAGAAGGCCAAGGAAAAAAAGGATAAAACAAAAGCGTAGTCGGCAAATCATATATGTTCTCGATCGCGGCGCGGATAGCTCGAGCTTCCAAACGGGTTTACTCGCGAGGCGATATGCAAAAGAGAACCTCGATCAGCGCGAATACGTTAGCACAAAGGATGTCAAAGGAATCCAATAAACAGCGCGCCAAGGAATTCGATTGCCTACGAGTTCAGGTATATTACGGGCTCGTAATAATCTAGAAATACGTTCTCTACGTCGAAGCTATCGTGTCGGATAATCAACCCGTCTCCATAAACCCGTCCGAAACGAGCTTATGGAAGGCTGCGCCGCGAAGCAACGTGACGAATACAACGCGCACCACGCACGCCCTGGTACTTTTTCGATTGGCGCACAAATCCAAAGAGTCAATTGACCCACATATCCCATTTTGAAGTATAAAAAGTACCAGCAGCAGCGGCGGGACCGTCAACGAGCAGTGGTGTGTCGACACTTACGAACATATATGTACGTACAGTTCAAAACAGGATCACTTTTTTTTCAGATGCCCATATCACGCATATTTGACGTAGTGCATATATGATAGTGCATATTTCATATTTTGAAAATTTCATAAGTGGTATGCAATATTCAGCAGCCTCGGCTTCATACCGCAGCAAATAACTTGAAATAAATACGCGGTTTGTGTAAAGTATTTAAGTAGTTTTTAGTCGTAGGTATTTGTGCGGTCGGCGAGAGCCCAGAGAATCCTCCTTAATCCGAGTGGCGTGGAATAATTGTATCGTTCCGCGCGATAACACAAATACCTGGCGAAATTAGTGGACACTCGTTAGCGCGCCCGTTGAATCTTTCAAGAAGCGCCCTTAATGAGAGAGACCGCGGCGAACCAAATGCGGTACCAAGCGCGAGGAGAAAATTCACTTTCCGAATTAGAACGGGTTGTGAGTTTATGAAAAAAAAAGAAGCATCGCCGCGGCGACAAGGAGGTAATTTAAAAGCGGTGACCTTAGTTAAGCCCCGACAACGACGACGCGCGACACGACACGACGCGATGCGACGCGGATGTGGCGAAACGTCTGGAGTCTGGAGAGAAGAGAGAAGAACGAGCAAACAGAGATTGGGAAGCTACTTGCATACCTGCCGTCGTATAACAGCGGTACGACGGTGGGTTGCTGCTTGTTTAGCCGTGTTAGCTTTGGCGTGCTTCGCCGAGGCGCGCCGCGCCGCGCCACGCCGCCTCGCCTGCAGGCCAACCCTACCTTATCCGCTTTCGTTACCGCATGACAGACGTGCTTCCGCCCTTATTGTCGGACGGCCGCGCAGCTAATTTCGCCCCATGCAGGGTACATCTGCGCGCGCGCGCGCGAGCGTCTCATCCTATGTCTCCCGTATCCTTCCAAAGCCGGAACCCGTTTACCATAATACTTGCAGACGGTGTAATCACGTTAAGTACCGCCGTTGGGCGTATCGCCGCGCCGCTGCGCCGGGGTTAATAAGTTTAACGTCGCGCCGCGCGGCTCGCCACAGCTCGCGTATAAAACAACAATCCGCAATCCGCTTCCCTCTTTTTTACACCCCGCGGCGTTCGTCGCCACGACGGAAAATGAATCCGACAGGGAGATGAAGTCGCGGCGCTACCCTCGGGCTGTCGCGAGACGCGCTGGAAAATCTGGGGACGCGCCGGTGCTCGTTTAGCTATACGGTACCGAGGTTCGGTAATAATAATCGGTGTACTATTGTGGGTCACGCATTTGCATATACGTATATGTAATTATGTTGCAGATCCTCGTTCTGGCCTGCGCCCTGCTCGCCGTAGCGATGGCCGCCGAGTCGGACAACGAGGAGCAGCAATCCGGCAGATCGCGGGTTTCCGACGAACAACTGAATATGGCCCTGAGCGACAAACGTTACTTGAACAGACAGCTTAAGTGCGCCCTGGGAGAGGCGCCGTGCGACCCCGTCGGACGACGTCTGAAAAGTACGAATAAACCCGTCGTGGAAAGATCGCACCCGCGCGATTATCCCGAAAACGAGACTTGAAATAAAATTTCAACTTATTTTTTTATATCATGACCCCCAAAAAACGATCGATTCTTACGGTGTGGTGGTTTAAGAAAAAGATCACAGGGAGTAGAATGTACTCCTCAGTAGGGAAGACCGGGGGTCGTTGGCATAGTTTTCACAATTTCGGCATATGAGTTTTTAAACAACTAATTATCATGATTAAACAGTACTAATATGATAGAGAGAACCTTTCTCTACATTTTCATGCTAGAAACGCTCCTATATACTGTTAAATTAATGAAAACGTAATAGAAATACAAAACGGGTAGTAGACTGCTTGACAAAGATTGTATCTTTTAAAGTTATTTTGTAATGATCGAATAGCAAAATGCTGTTACAGAAAAAAAATTGTAAACTATTTTAGATGTAGTTTTCTTCAATATAAAAATATTAATATAAATATATATCTAGCTTCTATCAACATTGTAGGTAGCAAATCATATACTCAAACAGGTCTCACGCGCGCGGCAACAATAAGTCAAGCTAAGTGTGTCAATATGAGCCAACATACCCCATCCCTACGTACGTTTCATTTCAGTCATTTTATTACAATAAATTACTGTTGTTATTCAAAATAACATGTCGTATAGTAACAGAAACTTTTCTTTTAACTAATAATACACGTCACTTTGATTTACTTCTCAAGTTGAAGAACATTAATACGATATTTTGAAACGCTCGAAAATTTACTTGCCACCTTTTGAATCAGATTTTTCTCTTTTTTTTTATTTAAATAAAACTTTGGGAAAAGTACCTATGTCATAAAAGAGATCTTTTGTGATAACTTTTCCATTGTTTCTTTCGCTATAAATACCCAAACGGAATGCATTGGCAACTTGCCTCTTGTGCAAAGGAGCCCTGGTCTCCCCTATTTTCAGAGTAAATTTAGAATATTTATCGTATCGCAATTGTGCAGGCAAAGTTTACGGCTGGTGTAATTTCCATGTAATTTCGGTGAGTTCAATTTCCACTGTGAGAGATGTACGCGAACAAGAACGTCACGCTAATTGTCGTGTTTCCGTCGTCGCAGAGTAAACATAGGGGTCGAACATTTTCACGTGTCTACGGGAGTGAAACCTGAGCTCAAACGAAAATCATATCAGTCTCGATCCTTTATCGGAAGTATTAAATATTGAGCATTGCGCCACTCACTATTCAAACTTGCAATCGTAAACGTTTATTCGCTTTTGAGGCGGATCATAAATTTTTCCATCCTTACTTTTCCGTACCGCGTGCAGCAGCTCTCGCTTCATAAAAGGTTAAAATTAGCATCAGGGATTCCGGGACAGACTGTATACACTCGCGGAAATGTTAAACATCAAATACCATTATATCTCGCGATAATATTGTGCACACATACATGAATCTCGAGAGGGAGCTGCGTACATAAGCTTACATACATAGATAAAACCGGCCCGAAAACTCTGTTGAAATCCTACGTCGTTATTTTATCCAGGTTTAGTGCCGCTGGTTCTGAGAGGCTCCTGCCCACAGTGCAGCACCGAGGAGACACGTCAGATCAAGAAGGTCCTTTCTCACATTCAGCGATCCTTCCCGAAGGAGTGGAACAGGATAGTGCAACAATACGCCGGAGTTTCGTAAACGAGATATGATATAGCGCGCGCCGGTCACGACGAGGCTGGATGTACAGAGAATATAGCAACGGAATACGAAAGGATACAATGGATCATCTACGGGGAGGATCGTCGATCGCATTCGTTCATTTAATATTATTGTTAACGATGGCACGCGAGAGAAGTATAGCTCAGCTGTAGAAAGATATACATTTAAATTATCGTCAAAAGCACATACGTAGAAATTAGTTTTTAACAGGATGTAAAGATTTTATCTGTATTATCCATTATTTGTAAGATGTTGTACATGTATAAACTCTATTCGCACGTTTGATATATTCTGTTTTAATAAAAAGTTTGTCGTTTTGTCATTTTTAATTTAACCTAGCGTATCTACTATTCGAAGAAGTCGCCTTTCGTTTCCATTAAAATAACACGCTCACACGTCTTTGCTACCGCAACGTTTCACTCTTGTCTCTTTATTTCGCGGTATTTCGAGCTTCACCTTCTGCTCCGGCTCACACACGAGGTGCAACGTGCCGCGACGACGACGACGACGCACGTTTACACGCGTTCGTTACACTAAAGCGTGATTCGCATTCGCGATGTATAATAGCGATTACGGATATTGGCATTAAACCTGCGCGTGATCCGCGAGAACGGGATGCACTACACGCGTTGTTATTAGGGCTTATAAGTATTCGGGGCTTCCGCAAGGACTGTTGGATGTTTGACCAGGTTTATCGAGTATTAATGACGATCAACAAGTTGCTAATTTATTTGGTACATAATTAACACTATATCTCCGCGCCCATTATTCAGCCACCGTGATTGCGCCCTGATTTGGATTTCGCTGTCCTTGCTGTGAATATTAATTCTACTGTGTCTCGGTGTCAAAGCCCTCGTATGCATGCTAATTTAAGTTTGTCTTGTGTGCCAGTGCTGGTTGTGAGAACAGGCTAGTAATTAAACTTTGTTAACCGATAAAAGTGCGAGTAGCGCAGCAATAATATCGTCGCCTCGACAAAAAGATTACATCTCAATATTTGCTACGCCGCGTCGCGAGAGAATTATTTGAGGAATACTTTTCAGCCGTGATAGTGTGCTGTAAGTTGGGATACGGTTTCTTGTGCTCGTAGTTTGCAATAATCTCAGAATAGAATGAGACTGAGTCACGCCAATTTGTCAGCAACTGGTTATCGCTTAGACGTTATGGCGAGCTAACACGAAACCGACTTGTTCTTATTGTTAGATATGTCGTTTTGAAACACGCAAATTGATATTAAAGACGCTACACGAGCAAGAGTATTCGCTTCAAAACTCGAGTATCAAACCGCGTTACACTCGCAATAAAAAAGTCGACACAATCGCTCACGCAGTAGATGTGGACAGACTATTATCAGACATCCAGAAACGTTTTACCTTACGATACGTAAATATCCGACTGGCTGCCAATATTTTCCGCTACGCGACGATTTCTCGACGAGAATGACTATTCAATTTTTTATACAATTGAAACACGTGTCTCTCTCTCTCTCTCTCTCTCTCTCTCTCGGCCGTGCAGAAATCGCGACGAAGGATGTGAGCGCACATGTACAAAACTGTGCGCGTTGTCCTAAAACGGCTGCAACGGTGGCAGACAAATCTATTGCGTCATCTCGCAAGTTGCGAATCCTTCAACGACACTCGCACGTCCTCGTCTGACTATTTATCGACCACGTGTACCCAGCCGTTCAAACTGGTTTTCGATGATGCTTCCCCGAGAGAAGCGGAGATCTCGACAATTCAGGAAATCCGATTTGCCACTCCGTCTATCCTCGCAAAATTCAAAATTGAAGTCTACGTAGAAATAGACGAAGAAAGACTCTGACAATTCCCGCATGTGCGCCGTTCGTGTACAGTGTGCTTCTAAAATGCTTGGACAAACTTTGTAAATGTAATCTTCGAACAATTTGTAGCTTATTTTTCCTGATCAAAAATACCAATGTTTGAGGTGGTTGAAAATAAAATGGTTAGGTTGAAAATGAAAAGTTTATCGTACGTTAAATTTCATATCAGAGATGATATAACTATCGAAATCCTATATCCAACTTCGAGTAACAGAATTCCGATTCGAGTCAAATATTAAATACGTCGGCAACTGAGTTTGCCAGAGTGTTTAATATTTAAAAGTTAAAAAGGAGAGACGTAGCCAAATCAAATTTCCGTCGAGGAAAAATTGGCGCCAACTTGATCAAGGGGACCATCAGCAAAGCTCGACCCCGAGTATCTCAGCAACATCCTGTACAAAGCGACCCGACAAGATTCGAGTCACGTAATGCTTGTGCATTTTGCATCAATGCGACAAGATACAATTTAAACATCTCGTCTCGCGAGCTGCAATACGAACTTGGCGCACCGATTACACCGAACTTACAGCGGCTGCGTGATTTCATATCGATACGATCGCAGCAGCGGATCAAATTTCCAGCCAACAGATATTTAATTATTGGATAATTAATCCCTTAATCGAACGGTGATTTTCTACACGAGGCGGAGGCACCGTCTCGCCGATGACTAGTCTCGAAGTCGAAGTCTACCTCCGCCCCCTCGGCAAACATTTGTTCTTCTTGATTGATACGCGATAATACACTTTCATTCGGAAGGGACAAATATTGAATCCCATCGAAGAAACGTGGAAACGATGTGTTTGCGCCCCTCGTGTACGTGTCTCGTCGCTGGATGATATTGTACATATGTGTGTCTTGTGTATTTGCACAATCGTCTACAATTTCATTGCTCATCCGCGATCGAGCTGTATTTACATCCGGACAATCTTAAAAATTTTCCAACTCCGCTGAGAGCGGGAAAAAGACGGGGTAAAAATCGCTCGCTACGCCCGAATGCAGCGAGCCGTTGCAAAAAAAAAGACACATCCAGCGTACTTTAATTACTTTTAATTGCGCCGAACAACTTACAACAACGCTCGCGTTCCTAATTAAAATTAAACCGGGCGGGTACGCGGCACTGAAAATCATTTAACTCGGGATTCGACGGAATTCGAATTTCATTCGATAAAAAAAAATAAGTACCGACGTTATCGTACTAGAAAAGATTTTCGATCACCCTCCTCTTAATTATTTAATTAGCAACGCAGTTATTCGTACGATACAATTCATATATTCACGCGCGTAAATATCGCGGTAACTTTGTCATATCTTGCCTCGTTTCCTCTCGACGCAGATGGCGAACTAAGGATAATATGTAACCCCGACGATGTGCAGTGCCGCACAAGCGATTTCCCGAAAGGACGGTATCACGGCCTCGGGAAAGCGGCATTATATAACCGTGAGATTATTCCGGTGTCGGGCAGATTTCCGTGGTCGTTTGATCGCGGGACTTCTGCCTTATAATTCGTTATACGAGTGTAGTAAAACGGCCGTACCCTCGCCACGTCTCACACCCCGTGTCGTCCTACTCGCGACCGCCGCAATCGCCACTGCCGTCGCCGTCGCCGTAGCCGCCGCAAATCCACGACGTCGTTAAAACGACCAGCCTTCAACGTCGCTTGAAAGTTCCCTCGGCGCGCGGCTCATCCTGGGGGATCATCATTTCCTCCCTTTATCGACCGCCGTACAAAAGGCAACTCGTTTTGCCCGATGGAAAACAGATAAAAAGGTCCCTCTCCGTCCTCTCAGATATATAGATATACACGTCGCGGAGGAGGGGGGCGCACCGCTTACGTACGAAGTGCTGAGAGAGTCTACCGAGGGAGAACTTGAAGGGGGTAGGGAAAAAACTTCCGGAGAAAAGTTTTCAACGAGAACGAGACTTCGTTGAACGGTACGAAGAGCCGGGCGAGAGTGATTTCTTTGGTTCGCCGCTCGAACTTCGCATTTTTGCAGCAGTCGCCGCGCGCGCACGGCAGTCGAGATTCTCGCTCTTCTCGCGCGGTGTTCTTCAAGTGCGCGATTAATATTTTAATGTGGCTTCTCTCTCCTCGCCGAGGCAGAAATTGCTACCCGCTTAAGGGAATTATCTGTGAAACGTTTAACCTTATTTCGCTTATTTCACTTCGCGCGTTTTTTCCCACCTCCGACGTTGAGTATATATACCTATATATATCTTGACATTCATACAAAAAACCTTAAATTAAATTTCCAGCCAAGCAACGTCCGATTAAAGTTATGAGAAATATTACGAAAAACGAAGTTTCTTTAATCTATTTACACCCTCAGATTAAATTCGTCCAAACGCTTACTAATTTTATCGATGTTAATTACCAGCCTCGTAGCTGTCGCTTTTGAAATAAGCTCCTGCTTTCAATGACCTTTTTGTTTCGCTGCCAAATAGAACTAATCTCACGTTCTCAAAAGTCGTTTCCTAAAGAGGCGCGAGATTGACTGCCGGTTCTCTCGCGGGACAACCTTTAGCGCGAGAGAGAAAGCGCGAGGAGAAAGAGAAAGAGAGAGAGACGCCGCGGTGCCGTCGCTTTAATTACGTTTGAGAACACAAGGGGCGGCCGACGTGACGCGACGCGAAAACGCAAAACGGGATTACGGCGCGCGACGCTAACGGCGCTTAAACACACGAGAGGAATCTCTCTCCTCCCGGTGCTCGGCCGCGCATCCAATATGCCGCCGGCAATTCTTGGCGTGGCACGATGCATGAATGTGAGAGCGCGCGCGCGAGTCTCGTGAATGACCCGGAGACTCTCTCGGTCCCTCTCTCGCTCCCTGCGCCTCGACACATGCACGCACATAGGTGCATTCCTCTCTCGCATGCACCGCGCGCGACAGTACTGCACGCCGGCCTCCGGCATAGACGTTGGCCGTGGCCCGTGCCCCGAGCCTCGACACGTGGTGCCGGAGAGAGCGGCGACGGGACGAAGAGAGAGAGAGAGAGAGAGAGGGAGAGAGAGAGACGTCGGGAGAAAGGGAGACAGGAACGAGCGAGGAATTACCGTGGCTCGAAAAGGCTTTAATGAAAGTTGCCTGTTGCTTGCACAAATCGCCACGTCAACGGAGAAAATCTCTATCCCAACGTACGTCCCGGCCTATACTCCCTCATCCTCTTTCTCGAGACGCACGCTCTTTCATGTGGTGACCGGTACTAATGGTGCTGCGGGTTTATCTGCTCTTATTAGAGGTGAAGAGTTCACCGTAAAAAGGGCGTATGATTAATGGTGGCATTCTGCGCGAAACAGGCATAAAAATTTAAATTCCGCATTGTTAAAAGAAACACACCGCGCAAAACGCGTACATAAATGAAATCTAAAAACATAATTCGCCGAGAATAAAGGGAAGGGTAGCATTTCCTGTATGATTAATGTCTCCCATATTGCGTTCCCTTGCTCGCGTAGGCCTCGCAATTAT